ACATCGCGAGAAGACTTTATGCCTTGCTGACAATTATGTACGACGAGAAGATTTCATGCCTCGTCAAAATTTATACATCGCGAGAAGAATTTATGCCTCGCTGGAATTCATGCATAGCAAAAATCATGCATCGCGGAAATCATGCATCGCGAGTCATTATTTATGCACGACGAGAAGATTTCATGCCTCGTCAAAAGTTATGCATCGCCAGAAGACTTCATACCTCGCGGGAATTTACGTATTGCGGGAAGATATTTATGCCCCGCAAGAGGACATACACGGATAAAGAAAGAGCAATATTTATCCATCGACCTCAACCGCATTCCTTATTTTGATAAAAGAAAACATCAAGAAGAGCATCGAAGCACAAGGCATAAGCTTTATTTGCTAGATGTCAGACCGATCGAGTCGACGTCGAATATTGAGGAGAACAAGGAAGTGTCGACATGGTAAAAAGACACTGTCTCCCATCCTAATTGCATTTTTTAAGCTGATGAGTTTTATCTTAGTTTTGTCGAGAGCATCCGAAAGGATGAATTCTCCAAAAACCACAGGTGCGGACGACATCAAAAAGGATGCAGCAAACCGTGGAGCTTTTTCTTAGCAGCAGACTGGGACACAGTCCGGAGAGGAATGTCAAACTCTCAGGACGCGAGCAGAGGAGCGACTTCCACCACAATCGAACCACCCTCTCAAGGCATGTCGGTCTTTCTTTAGTTCTGTCAGTTTCAGTCTCGCATCCGGAAGTTCCGACTTATCAGAAGCAAGTTTCCAATCTGAGTGACAACTCGCCAAGAGCTTTGGAAATTATGTCCGTGTAAGTTCTTACCTATGGATGTGAAGAGCTCCACATTCATAACTAAGAGGTTACAAGCCTCCTTTTCATACTCGTTAATGTGTCACCCTTCCAAAACCGAAGGTTATCTAGCATAATAGGTTCCCTTTTCCATCGATTGAGTCGAACTACACAGAGCCTGATTCCGAAGGTCTAGGGATATGTAGGCGGATTCTATGTCAAAAACTCGGCAGTATTCCAACATTCTCTCTCGAATTCTATTCTCGAGCATTTCGATACCTTCATAATTCGGTATCGAGGGGGCTTTTGATTCTTTCAAGATCTTGCGGTGAATCAAGCTTATCGAACTACAAGTGGCCTGAATTCTCATATAGCCTGAGAGAGGTAGGAAACTCGTTTTCAAGGGTTCGGACATAATTCCTAAACTCTTTGTCAAATCCTTCCTTTAAAATTAATAGGGTTGGCCAAAATTGGTGGTCAATTTCATTTTCCTCGAGTTGCTTGCATCAAACCAAGTAAAATGAGGGACAGTTGTTGACACCCAATTTTTGACCCGCGTCGGTATAAATTAATTATCGAGCTTCGTGAGTTTTTCAAATTATTTAAGCTAATTAGTTTTATAAATATTGCGAAAATTAATATATATATATATATATATATATATATATACATATATATATATGTATATGTATATATGTATATCTTAAGTTTAGAAGGTATTCTATTAAACTAGTTTACTTTAAATCACAACTATATTTTGAATCATTATTTTTACAATTTCAATAGTTATGTTACTAAATAAATAAGCTCGTTAACAAATTTACACCAAATTCATTTTCGTTTTAACTCAATTGGCGATTATTTAAATTGAATTCCCTTTACATTTTAACAATCCATTTCAATTTCAGCCCATCCCCCTCAAACCCAAATCAATTTCCCATGTCCAATTTGTAGGCCCAAACGTTTTCTGTAACAGCCCACTCCATTTTAAACAACCATCCAATCTTCCAACCCATTACCAATTAACCCCAGGCGGCCCATCCTCCTCAACATAACTCACTAAAACCCATAACCCGACCCAACACCTCACGATCCGACCCGACCCCATATCCTTTTCTTCTTCCCCTTCCCCTCTCACACCCCAAATAACGAAAAAGCCAAAGAACCCAGTGAAAAAACGCAGAGGAAGCAGAACCCCAAAACAGAAAATCTCTCCCACACCCTCGCGTCTCCCTCACATCCTCTATCTCTCTCCCAAACTCTCTCCCTCGCGCAGAACCTCCCAGACACGAAATTAATTCCCCACAAATCGTCAAAATTCCCAAAACTCACGCGCAAGGAGTTCTCACAGCACGGTTTGTCTTTTTCTTCGCGTGTCCTCGAGTCGCGCGTCTCCTTCCCTCTCTCTTCGCGCTCGTACGAGCGCACAGTGGACAGTAGCCGCCCTCGCCTCAACAGCCTTGCAACAGTGCTGCGACCCTGCCCTCGTCGTACAGCCCTGCAGCACGCTAGGGGGCGCGAGCTCGTCCTTGGCGACGTAGGATCATGCCGCGTCATTTACCAAGGACGAGAGTTTAATCTCGACCCTCCACGTCGCCTCAGAGCCGTTCAAAGAGCAAGGAATCGAGGAATATCCGTTTCTGTTGGATAATGTTTGAGATTTCAAATTTTGAATTGGGCCATCGTCAATCCCGCCTAAAATCCAAAACCCTAATTCCGTTCTCCTCTATAAAAACCCCTTTTCTTCTTCAGAAAAGGGTTTGGACATTTTTGGTTTAAGAAATTTTCCGAGAGTTGGAGCTTTAGTAAAAAAAAGGGGGGGGGGGTTGTATTCTGTCTGTTCTAGGCTTAGAAAAGAGTTGTCGTGGTCTAGCTTTGACGAGAGGATTTCTGGAAAAGAATCTTGGAGAGATTTTTGTTCGGAGGTTTTTCGCTCGTCTCTGCTTTTCGGGTCAAGAAAGACGGAGTGTGATCGTTGCCATTTTTTCGGTTGGCGATTCTGAGAAGGAGACCTGTCTCGCGTTCTTAGAAAGGAGAGGAGGAAGTTTTCTAAGCAAGCTTGCGTTGGACTGGTGTTCGTGCTCGCACGGTGGTAGTCGTCCCCATTCCCTACTCATTCTCGTCCCAGTTTGCCGCCCCTATAAAGGTAACATTTGTTTCGACTCTCGATCTTTAGTTGTATTTGTTGTTTACACTTCGTGGCTTAGGTTGGTTTTAGCTGTTGTTGACTCGATGTAGTGCGAAAACCGTTTGAAAATTCGTGGTTATGTTGTTCTGTTTCTGTCGCTTACTGTTTACCTTTCCGAAAACCCCGCGTTCATGCTGTTTTTGACG